AATGGGCATGCGAAATGAGTCATTACAGATATGGTATGTATATGGAATCAGGCGGGCATCCGCCCCCGTTGCCCTAAATCAGACACCCCTTTCACTCCCTAGAGTGCCCGACCACATCGAGTCATTTGTTAACAATCCAGAGCGGTGGCGGTTTTCAGGGCCAGCGCCAAATGCGCGGAAGTGTGTAGTCGGATGTGGTTAAGCATACGCCATGTGGGCCATCAAAATTTTGTTTTTGTCGTCGCTGCGCTCGTTCGCTGGCTCGCTTTTGATTTACAATTTTTTTCTGTTGGATTTGTATGCTTTTTGTTTTGCTTTGGTGTGGATTTGGGGGTAAATGGAAATGGCGGGAGTCTGGGTTTTATTAAGCAAATGTGCATGAAAATCTATGCACGGATACGCGCGCAATAATGCGAAATTTATGGCTCGCAAACGTGACACTTCGTGCCAAAGCTGCAACAACACTGTCCGCTGTCCTCCACTTAAAGAAATGAGTAGGTATGTTATATTTATTTGAAATACGAAATATTATATTCAGAGTTTTTATCTTTATATTCAAATCAATAATAACTTAATCTTATATTGTCTTTGTCGAATAACATTAAAATATCTAAAACACTTTGGTCTTTTTTTCAGTGTAAGCCTCCCCATCCTTTTCAACCACACCCCCTGCTAGGCGGATACTGCTCATTTTGCCTCCGGCTGAGTGAGGAAAGGGGCAAAAGGCAGATGCCTCTCGCAGTTCGCTCAGCATGCAGTTTTAATTGTTTTGTCGCTAAAATATGTTGGTTGCCTCCCAATCTCCCAATGTTTGTGCCCCTGCAGCTCCACTCGTCTGCTGCATTTTATGGCATTTAATTTGGTGAAAGCACACAAACACACGCAGAGCATTTACAAACTTTCGCTTTAATATTGTATCATAAAATAAACACGAGGAGAATATGGGTTGCAGCTCTAGTTTTCCTTTCACATATTCCCATTCCATTTGCATGTTTCAGTTGACCGCAGTGAACATTTATCTGTCCCGCATTTTTTCATAAATTTTTGACTGCAGCTTTTCGCCATTTCGTTTTGATAGCAATCGATGTTGCTTTGAGGATAACTATTAGTTGCAATTGATGGGAAAAACTATCAATAAATGATGTCCAAAACTGAAACATTTCAAAGTTAAAAGGGACGAGTGAGATTTTTTAATGCAATTCAATGGCTGAAAATAACACATTTATATTAAATACCAATCAATGAACGTTCAGAATAATAGCTTTTATTATATACTACAATGATATTTAAACAACATTTACTGTTGCCAAAGTCTCAAAGTGCACATTGCCAACTTTCCCAATCGAATCGTCAATAAAATGGTTTCGCCTAAAATCTCAATTCGGTTTAATTTGAGTATGATATCAAACCAAATTGATTTCTTTATCCCGCGCATTCCCGCCGTCGAAATGGTCGTTGGCCGCCTTTTACGGCGATTGCTGCCGACCACGCCCACCACCGCAGCGTGGGCGTTTTTATGGACCGCTTCTTGTTTTTACTTTCCCAAATACACATCGATCTGTAATACATAGATATATAGTATATTTGGTTTTTTGCGCCACGCCAGTTTCTCTTGGTTTTTTGGCTTGGCAGTTGCAATCGAATTGGGTCCTGGGTTTTCTATTAGTTCGTTTGGCGCTTGTCTTTTATTTTCGTGGCTTTGGCTTTCATTTGATTTGTATGGGATGTTTGCATATTTCAGCTTTGATTTATTGTTGCGGCTGGCGGCGGAAAGTGCCAACCGATCCCCCTCTCTATCCCTCTTCCGGAACTTTTACTAATGGCCGTTGCCATTTCATTTCAGCAACAAGTTTTTTAACCCCCCCTTTCACGGCTAATGCAACGCAGCTTGCAGCTCTCAGCTCTCAGCTGCAACTATCGCAAACACTTTGAGTTAGCCCCCTGAATTTCCACGTTTTCCCATATACTTTTCCACCCAATTTTCCATCCAAGCCGCCCACCTCCCTCTATTTTCCTCCCAGCAGCTGTGACAGGCGTTGGCAAAACTTTTTAATCTCGTTAGCTTGGACGGCATAATAAAATTAAAGCCCGATGCCAGGGCACTTTTCAGGTGGTGGAACTTTTGTGCAGAAATTTCAATACGCCATTTAAACTGATAATTGTTTCGTATAAATCATTTTGGTCCACTCCACAAACACATATACACAAACAGGAGCAGAAATTACCTTTCGGTCGCGCAGAAAGTTAATTAAAAAATTGTGGCCAGAGCAGCGGGCCAGAGCTTTTGTTCAAGTAGCTCGCAGCTCTCGGGCTCAAATAAACTGCAATTCAATTAGGGACGCGGCCATAAATAAGCCCACACACACAGGAGAACAAAATCAAGTTGGTGGACGCCCACCCACCCACAGTAGGCATATTTAGTTAAATATTATTATAATTTCTCTTTCTTTCTGCCTTTTTGGTCAGCGCCTTTTGCGGTTGGCAAGCACATGAAACAGATAAAACAATTCTCAACACTGACAGAAATTTAATAAAGTCCTTTAAAATTCAAAGAAAAATCTTAAATATTAATAAACACCAAAACGGATTTTGAGTACTCAATTGTATTTAAATATAAAAGATGCGTTTTTAATAGCTAAGTAAACTAAACATCATCCCGTTATCCAGTATATCTTTACTTTGCACATCACTGTTTCTGAGTGCAACCACCACCCTTTCCATTTTCTATCTTTTTTTACCACCTCCATGTCCCCTCAAAATCCCTTCCTTTGGCTTTTTTGCGGTTTAATCTTTTATAAATAACAAATGGCGTAAGTTGACTGCCGTTTGCTGAAGTGGGCGTGGCCAATGTGGGAGGCAATGGGATGGAGAAGGTGTGGCCGAGGGGCTGACCATGTTTTTTAGGTGGCTCGCATTTTGAATGCCACTCGTTTTCGCCCGTTTTTGTCTGTTTCAGCTAAAATGAACCCGAGCCGTAAAAGTTTAAGTTTGTTAAAAAAACAGAATAACAACAATGCAAAACAACAAAGTAATGATAATGATTAAAAAGTACCAACTAGAAGGCACCCTACAATTTTAATAATTATAAAAATTAAACATGTTTTATTAATTAGGGCTTATATTATTATACTTAGTAATAAACAATACTTCAGTTTATTAAAATATTTAAAATAATTGGGCTATAAACTGGAAAATCTAAATTTTAATACAACCTCGAAAGTCCTTGGATGTTACCAATTTAAAAAAGTTTAACACACTTAAGGCCTTCAAGGGAAGAATGTTACAGAATATAATAAAGAAGTAAGCAAATACCAAAATTTAGCTGTGGCAACTTGGGCTAAAGTAATTATTTTTAATAATTGACTTGGTGCTTGCTACATTTTTTTTGTTCGCCCAGCTAGCTGCTGACACCCGCTTCCTTCTTGGCCTGGAAAATGTTTGAACTTTGAACTAATTTGGCAAAGTTTCGGCTCTGGGTCCGTGTATGCATGTGGCTCCTCCTCCGTGGCCGTGACTCTGGCATCTGTTTGGCCAAGAGAGCCTGCTACCACTGACCTCCAGACCGCAGTGAGCTTGGCTCGAACTAATTAAATTTATGGGTCTGGACAATTTTTTATACAGCGACAGCAGAAAAGTCGAAATTTGAATTTAAACTTAAACAAATGCTAATTAAGTGGTAAGAGTTTGGAGTCCATTGGAAAGTGGAAACTTTGGGGGACGTTAATTTATTTAAATTATTCCTTGTATTATAATATTAAGTTATTTCATAATTTCATTATATTATATAAGAGAATCCCTTTACCCACCATTCATTCAAGTTGTAGTTCCTGAACCATTATGCATCGTAAAAATTGAAACATAGTTGCCTTATCGTTTTTATATCATCGGAACTCTCGATACCGTGCAAAAAATCGACTTTCCCAGCTCTTGCTGAATATTTAGCAAGATTATTCTTCTTTTACCAAAAATGGAAATCAAAACGTACACCGATAGGGTCCTTTCCTTCTTCGCGGTGTTCGCTAAAGGAATTCGTGGTAAGCTAACCTGTCATGAAAAGAATTCACTGAAAGAAATTAATTCCTGATAGGGAGAGAAAAACATGAAATGTTGATGGAAGGCGCCACACAGTGCTTTAAGTTCGCCGAGGAGGTCATTGAGTCGTTTACCAGATTTCACGAATTTGAGAAGGAGGTGGCCCAGGCTGGTGAGGAAAGCCATTCAGTGGAGGAATACGAGAGGAATTTGGTCGGTCGCCGCGAGGCAGTTGACCGTATGTCGATTGATCCAAAAAACACGGACGAGTATCGGAGCTTTAACCAATCGATCGAAACCTTAATTGCAGAGGCTATGTCAACTCCAACCGACGGTGAAGTGCCCCGGATCACTACCATAGAACTCAAGACTCCCGTTCGCAACAAGGTGTGCAGTCACATTTACGATGTCGATGAAATAAATTTTCTCACTAAGGACAATAAAGAAATTCGCTGCCCAGTTGCTGATTGTGACAACGAGCTTTTCATCAGCTCCGATGACTTGGTAGAGGATGCGGAAGCCAAAGAGTTGATCCTGCAAATGTTGCAGGATCCAGAATCCGGGACCGATTCCACATCACCAGAACTCATCGAGAAGATGTGCGATTACACTGACGACTTCGACAATACCAGCGGGCTTAACATGGACCACAACGATATTTGCTGCCCAGTCACTGATTCTGACAACAAGCACTTAATTAACTCCGAGCACTTGGCCGAAAATGCGGAAGTGAAGGAGAGTCATTTGGTCGAAAATGCGAAAGTCAACGGCAATATACAGCAAATTGTGCAGGATACAGTATCCAGGATTAATACCACCTCACCAGAACTCATCGAGAATGTAGACAGTATCAACGACAGTAACGTGACCGATATAAACGAGGATCTGACCGATAATGCGGAATTTGAGGATATTGACTTGGTCGAGGATCCCGATGCTAACAACAATATCCATCAAATTATGCTGGATTCAATATCCAAGATCAATAACACCACACCAGAACTCATGGAGAGTCTAGTTTGCAACGATCATGTTTACGACTTGTGCAGTATCAACGGATTTTACTGCGCAGTGACCGATTTTGACAAGCTCTTCAAAAACTCGGATCACTCAGCTGAAAATGCGGAAGCTACGGAGACTCACTTGGTCGAGAATGCCGAAGTTAACGACAATATCAATAATTTTATGCAGGGTCCAGTATCCAGGATTAATATTACCTCACCATACGATCCATGGACCAAAGATCTCATTAAAAATCCTGTCTGTAACAAGGTGTGCGGTCACGTTTATGACCTCGACAGTATAAGCAGTCGTATTAATGACAAGAACAAAATTCGCTGCGCAGTGACCGATTGTCATAACTTGCTCTTTATCAGTTCGGATCACTTGGTCGAGAATGCGGGAGTCAAGGAGAAGATCCAAGAACTGATCCAGGATGATGAATACCCCTTTTGAGGAAGGGAACACAACCCACCAGGATGAAAGTGGTGGAAAAAACTTTAAGCACCCTAAAGAATACCATAAAAATCCTGATTGCATTATTCTTTTATTAAATATGTTTTTTTTTTACCTAATATGTAATTTGGTGCACCTTAACATCACTACACGTAATGAACTTCATTCTGAATAATTGTTTTTTAATTCATTTAAATTAACAATAATCACTGTTAAGCCACATCGCTACCAAATAAAGATTTACAAAAATGGCAAATGATTTGAATAATGCCTTTTTAAACAAATTTACAATTTAATTTCAGCATTTTTTATATTCGAATTTGATAAATTGAAATAAATTAAGAAAAACTCAGCCAATGAGGAAAATTGTAAATTAGAATTTGTAAAGAATCGTTTTTTAATTTATTTAATTGTCCAAAAAAAGACTGCTAATCCATTTAATCACATAGAAAAGTAGTCTAAAAAAGCTCACCATTTGTAGGATATTAAATTAAATAAGTTTGACCATAAATATTCGATTGCAAATGACGACAAACAATTGAAAATGAATTGCGTTCGAGTCTAATTAGATAACTTAAACAAATACATGTGTAGCATAATTAATTTGCATTTTCCAAATTCTCTCATTATTTGCTCGCCCCCTTTACACTCTCGGCCATTTTTCTTTGTTTCCAGTTAATATATAACAAATTATGTACACAAGCTGCAAATATTTAGCAATTAAAAACCTGAACAGTCGATAAAATTATAAATTGAAATTCAATGCCATGGCACAGGAATATGTGGGCGAGGAATTTAATTAATTCGAATTTCGTGTAGTTAGCAGCCGATGACTCTTGACCTTTCTGATTATACGCATGGAATACTAGTATGTAATGTTGGTCTTTGGTCTCTATATAGAATTTCCCAAGAACTCCCACAGATCCTTCGATGTGCTCCGTCACCTCCATTGCCATAATTAGCACAGAAGCTTCTAAGTCCTTTGGTGTTTTGGTCCTTTACTATTTAACGTGTTTTGTCCTCCCAAGAGTTTTGAAATGCACACGCGACCAAAATAAATTAACGTCTGCGACACGAACGAAAGTAAAGGTATTAAACCGATTGTCCGGCATAAGCGGAGGTCCCCAAAGGAAAGCTAGCAGTGGTGGGTGAAACTTGTGAGGGTTTTCATTTTAAGCTGAGTTATATAATGTTTTTAAACAGCAGAGACTAACTTAAAAATACCTACGAAAGTAATATTTATATATGCTTAGCCATGTTCTTTATTTGAAAATAATACCCACCAATGGAAAATATATTATTCATGTATATTATATATTATACATAATAGATTAACCCATTGTTAATGCAGACCTTCTCTTTGCTTAGTTCAAACATATTTAAAGATTTCATTCCACTTAGAATTTCAAATGAATTTTCTTCCACCATTTCTGGAAATTACCCCAAAACAATAACGTCTGACTGGAAGAGTTCGGGAAATTCCCAAGGCAAGCAGGCGTTAACCAAAAATATTTCCATTACTTCGGCTTTAGTTGGGGCACTACCTCCCACATTTCTTTTCCACTTTCATTTCCAACACAAATTTTCCTTTTCCCATGGCGGCGTCACATGCGTTGGCTTTTCTTGCGTTTTAGTGTAATTTCCGCAATCATTTCCGACAACATTTTATGCCGCTCCGCTTATTGATACCCCCTGAATCATACTTCCTTCACACTCGATTATTCAATCATTGTGTCATCTAGAAGGTTTTAGCCTTGACTTGTATGATTTTGTTTGCTGAAGTGTGATTTTTACTTTTCCCAACTTTAAGGCTACAGAAATGATCCTTGTACCACTTCAATAGAAAAAATCTTCTGCTTTCCTTAAAGTTTTTATTTTCTTACCTAATATTTCCTCTCGTTTCTCCCACTTTCTCTCATTGTCAGTTTTGGTTTGCCCAGTCAAATGGTTCGTTGCATTAAATTTATAGCGCACAATAAACTTTTGCGGTTGCTGGCAGGACTTCAACGCGGCAAAGGCCACAGGGCAATTACAACAGTGGCGGCTTGAAAAGGGGGTGGCCAAACATCTGCATGGAAATATATGTATATGTAAAGCAGCAAAAAGGGTTAAGAAAACAGGGAAGGGCTATGAATAAAGCGGAAAAGATTCGTTATAGTAGCCATGCAGCAGTTTAGGTTTTTTGGCATGTATATATACCTCGCACTCTTCCCGTGCTGCATCAATCATATGAGTTTTATGAATAATATCCTAAGGGCATTAATTTTCAAATTGAATGTTTTTTGGCCATTTTCGCCGGCGGTGCACAACTGTAAACAAGAGTAAATACTTCCAGCATGCATGGACCAACAGCGCCCCCCTCAAAAAACCAGGGGCCATATTGGGGTAACAGACCGTAAAGAGCGAAATATGTGTAATATGATTAAATTTTATCAACAAGCAACTCCCAGCGTCAGAAAACAACAAAAACAAGGGTTTCAATATAAGGAGTGGAAAAAGTTCGTAGGGTAATGGGGGCAAAAGAATGCCTGAAGAGGAAAAACAAGGAAAAACATATGCAGAAGTCGAAAATACAACAAGGTTTCAAGCACGTTTCAGCCAGCTTCGTCATCTATAAATGTATGGGTCTTGGTCATAAGTAACGATATATGCATATCCTGTGTTTTGAAATATTTAAGGGTATGTAGGTGCAAGGTAATTTTGTTAAACACTAAAATATTTATATTAATGAATATAAAATCTTAATATATACCAGACATTATTTTCATTTCTTTATAGTGCTTAATTTTTTTAATCTAAAATAAAACTATACAACATAGATGTAGGATAATATAACGCTTTATTCACAGGGTAATCGAAACACAATCTTTATTTAAATCCCAGACTGACTTTTCCGACGGCACACCCTCTGTTTGTTCTGTATGTGTTTATGACTTTGGATGGCAATGTGTTATTTATGGCTCATTTATGATTTGGACGCGTGCTATTTGTGAGATATTGTAAAACGGAGGGAACGAGGCGACATTTGGCTGTGAGCCTTTTGCATTTTGATTGCAGAAGTGTGTAATGGAAAGTGGGCTAAGGCATTGCCATATGACTGCCATCCTCCATTTATGGATTCCCCCTTCCAATTCGATTAGGGAAATATCATTCCTCTGACAATTTCAGCTTTAATCCAATAACAAACTTCACCCGCTGCCATTCACTGCTGTTTTCCACTCATTACTGGCCATGTCGCGCTGTCATGTAACTACTGCAATCGGTTTGATGTGCTCAAGAACACTTAAAAAATATTTTCCTATTTGTAAGAAACCTTACACGCATAGTAATTTTTATTTATTACAAATCATATGAATACGTGTTGTTCAAGTTAAAGTTATAGCCATTTAACGATTTAATTCCTAACTAACAGAAACCGTAATATTTGTTTTTTAATTCCATGTATATTTTGCCATGTACGCCTCTGGTGTCGCCATGTGCCACTGGCAATTGACAACTGTTGCTGCCAAGAGTGGTGGCAGCGGTGCGGTATCGCTGTCTGATTGAATTTTGATTGTTGCACTGGATTTTTCCATAAGTTGCAGCAGATAGCTGCCACACCTTTCCTCACTCCCGTTTATCATGTGCAACTTGACTAGCTGATAAATCTAATCAGTGTCGCGGCGGCACTAATCCGAAACACATCCCGCCGCCCACCTTTAAGGTTAACGTTAAGTAAAAGTTTTAGCCAACTTCTCAGCGAGTGTGAAAGAGGAGAAAAGTTTTACTTAAATTTTTTATATTATTTTCACTCGGTTTCCCCAATACACACTCTGTGCCTTAGTCTTTCTCCGTTCTTGCAACAGTGCACGTAGTAACTTTTTATTATTGTATTAGCAAAAGTTTATTTTTTCTTTCGCCACCCCCTCAGCATCTTTGACTTGGCTACATCTGCGCCTCAAGCCAGGCGAATCGATAGTTGTCTGCGAGCACAACTGTACACACTTGTGCTCCTTGGGTAGTTCAAGCCAACCGAGGCATCCGACTCCTTCAATCCAGTTGGCTGAGACGTTGCGCTTTTGTGGCCGATGGTTTAGATTTAATTTGGCAAACAGCAAAAGGGACGGGGCAACATTTTGACAAAGTGCCCATCGTCGATGTCGTCGTTTGGGACTCAGCCACTGCATAGTGGGGCATTTATATTGACCCATTTAGTTAAATTCCCATTAAATAAAATTTCCCATTTGAAAACTTGTTACTAATAAATCTTTATCTGTAATCATAACAACATATAATTAATAGCTTAATGAAACTACATTTAATGCCTTTTGCTTGAAAGACTGACAAATGTATTATGAACAGTAAACTCCATTCATATGTCACAAAGTAACCTCAAAACCCTAAATCTTTCTAAGAATTAAGCCCTTCAGCTGACACCTTCAACAGCCACTCAAGGTCACCTGTTAAACTTCTCCAGTGAGGAACTTAGCTCGATTTGTTACCACTGTCGCATTCGTGGCAAAGGCAACTTTGTTGCAGTCTCTGTGGCCCCATGCAAGTGCACTTATGTGTGGAGTTGAAGGCAGCACCGCCAAAAAAAGGGGGCGGTGGTGCAACCACTGCCACTTGACAGCCACAAAGGCGCTTGGCTTGTCACCCGCTACTTGGTCAAAGCATTGCGTCAGTCAAGTGGCACTCGGAACAGTTAAGCAGCGATGCCGACGCCATAAATGTTGCTCCTCCAACTCAGGCTCCCACATCCTGCCGCCACTTTTGGAGTTGGTGCAACTCTACCCGAGCTACGAAACTAACGAAAAAAACTGCCAGAAATGGCGAACGTTTGCCATTTTCCATTGGAAAAGAGTGAGCTTCTTGGCACAGACAATTTCGCAGCAATTTAAGTTTTAGCTTTTGTTTAAGCAACACTTCAATTACAACGCCTTCGAAAAGTATGTCAACTATCTCTCGTTCCTAAGAGGATGCAAGTACAGTGAAAGCTCATGAATAAATTTAAAGTGTGGAATATTTAAGCGAACAAATATAATACAAAATCCAGGGTGTATGGATTTAATATATATATAATATATTTATATATTTCAAAATT